GGCAGAACAGCTATCCACTACATCTCCCTCTTTTGTCTAAGTAAGAAAGTTCTAATCTAATATAAAACTATATACAACAGGAACAATTATCAAGTATTGTCCAGGGGAGGGGAAAGGTAATAACCTAAGCAAAAATAGAAATACAACCAGCAAGAACAACATCGAACAAGAGACATATACTAAAATCTAGAGATGTCCAGAACACAGGTAAATGAGCTGTTACAGAGATTACTCCAATAGCTATCCTATTCTAAAAAAGTCTAACTTTAGTATCTGAAATGTTCTTAGCTAAGATATGAGAGGATCATAACTATAACTGTCTAGTCTTCAACCCCATCAAAGACATGAGAAGGAACATAATACCTGAGAAAACTGAAAGTACAAACAAGCAATTTCCAAAAATTTTGTGAGACTAGACAGAGACAGCTGGCAGCCTGGACAGTCACCTAAAGCTTCTCAGCACCACTGGTGTATCCAATTTGGCTATAGGCCTAGAATATTTGATACATAATTTTCAGAAGCAGGAATTTTGAAAGACCTTCTTACCCTGTCTTGGCAAGGTTCAGTAGTCGCTTTTCCTTGTGTCCTGCTCGTCTTACTCATCTGGAAAGGACAGCGTTCATACTGTCAGCAGTCTAGGCAAGGGCAGTTCTTTGCCCAGCAGGCCATTATGTGCCAGGAAGAAGACAAACTTCTAAACAGAAATGTCTTAGAAGCCCAACATTCTCTTGGGATCAGATCAGTACTGCCAGGAGCAATTGTGTATCATGTCAATAGAATTCTAAGTTATCAAAATATTTAAATGCCATATTCTCCAGGTCTACGAAGTGTTTGAAGATTACCTATCCAACTGACATGTTTCTTTAAATTTGGACAGCCTAACTAACATAACTATAGAAATGATAAGCATGGGTGACTATAAATCTGTAAGTCTTTTCTGCCTAAATAACTAAGGACTAAGGCTTCACATTAACAAAGTAAACAGTCTGTAAACAGATGTATCATATAAGGACAATGACCTCAAAATTGTGACAATACACAAAATACCTTAAATGGAGGTAGAAATGTATAGTGCAATATGATAACAATATTCTTAATATGTATCAATATACAAAATATCCTAAACAGAGGTAGAATATACATATAGTAGGATAAATATAATTTCATGTTTGTATCAATATTTAAAATATTTCACATATGAGTAGGAACATGTGTTCAATATGATGATTATGGTTTTGAATTATGTCAATATACAAATTATCTTAAATATGAATATAAAAATGGTTTACATTTGTATCAATATACAAGAATCTATATCAGTACAAGTTACCTAAGGCTGATAGTTTGCCAAATCAGTTTACTAGTAGATACAATAATCTACCTCAATATACTATACCTATCCATTCTTCTTTTTTCTTTTCCAAAAAGGAATCCTGAGTCTAAATTTTTATTGTTCTACCCCCAACCCTATAACAACTTATCCATAACCCTGAGAGAATAAAAACTTTTGGGAAAGGGGGCTTTGTTTTCTTTTCTTTTTTTTTTCTTTTTGGTTTTTTCAAGACAGGGTTTCTCTGTGTAGCTTTGTGCCTTTCCTGGATCTCGCTCGGTAGACCAGGCTGGCCTCGAACTCACAAAGATCTGCCTGTCTCGGCCTCCCAAGTGGAGTGCTGGGATTAAAGGCATGCACCACCACCGCCAGGCTCCTTTTCTTAAAATTGCTTCCTGCTGTTAGGGGATGACGGTATCTCTGTGGGATCCTGTAAGAAAGCTGTAATGTTTGTAGCTAGTCTCAGAGTAATGTGTCAAGTTATCTGAGGTTCTGGCTGTAAGTGTAATATAATGGGTCATCTCATCTTAGAACTGTCCTGAAGAGTTTGCAGTCCAAAGATGATCACTGAGTAATGTTCTTAGGTACAATGACATCATTCTGGACTGAGTAGAGTTGTTGTTGTGGGTCCCCATCTTCCTTCTGGAGACTTCAGAGATTGCAATTGGGAAGACTTATTTTTCATTGTGGAAAACTTGAACATTATTAATATCAAAATGGAAAGGAGTTCCAGAAGTCAAGGATAAGCATGGAAAGAAATAGAATCTTGACAACGTTGGTCCCTAGATTATTGGTTTTCTTCTGTCTGACACCTGTTGGCTCTTCTGATATGAGACAGAATCTCCTAAATTTTTCTTTTAGCAACATGCTTGGATTTAGAGAAGGAGAGAGCCAGATTCCAACTTCAAAGCCTGCTTGATTTATGATTGAATCGGGACCACAATTATTCTAGAGTTAGATATTGATGTTAGGTAGTGAGATGTTACCCTGTAGAGTGTACCAATAGGTCCTTTCCGTCTGCTTAGATGTCTAGGTGTCCAAGGCCTTATGATTTCTTGAAGATGGGTATTTCTATTATCCCGTAAAGACAAAAAAACAGAACCCTGCACTGACCTTGTTTGTTGAAATAGCTATCCACTGCACTCCATGGCAAAGCATTTTGTGATTAGGTCTTGATGTATAAGACACCTGGTAGCCATGCCTTTGCACCCTGTTATGCAGCCTTGGAGAGCAACATAAACTCTGACTCTCTGACCTTGAGTCAAACCACAAGTTGGAAACTTTGTGGGCTCCCACAAGCAGAGGAACCCCCTGAATGGAAGTGATGCATTCATTGAGTCCAGGTCCATTGGTGTTTTTTCCTCAGGTGAATTGTTGGTGAATCTTTCCAGGGTTCTCAGACCTCACTTGGTTTGGCTCACAGTCCATTTGTTTACTAATTAAGGACCCTAATACATGGTAGATACCATTTTCTGGCCAGTTTTCAAAGTATTTGGTTTAAGGTATCTAGTTGTTGGTTTTGAAAGAATGTTGGTGTAGAAATTTGATTTTGTTTTGGTTGTTTGCTTCTTTTCAGGTCTCTAAAGGCATTTTGGATTTTATTTGCTTTTGGAACTTGGAAGGAATTTTGGTTTCTGGTTTTGTTTGCCGTTGTTTTTGCCTTTGGCATGTTTTATTACTACTTGGCCTTTTTCTCCTGATACCCTCCCTCAAATACCGAATTCTGTCATTTCCTGTGACCTTGCCAGATCTTTAGCTTAGGATATTTATAGGTACTTTGTCAGGGTGCCCCGAGTAGCACAGGTCGGTTGAAGAAATAAGGCACTCCAAGATGAAATTTGAAGGCCCCTTGTGGCAGGAGGAAGGTCCAGCCTCTCTGATGACTGAACCCCGAACAGCAGTACACAGGCATTTTTATTGATTTCCTTACACCAAGGTCCCTGATTTAATTTACATGTCTTACTGAAGGAGAGCATCACATGCCCCCATGACTCTAGTCCTTCATTATGTATCCTTTGTAATACACAATAATACAAGAGCCTCAGGTATGCCTGAGGTATCTTGTCACCAAAGTCATGGGATGGCTGCAATGCCCATTCAGCAAAACAATTCTACAAATCAGGGAAAACAATCACTGTTTTCCACAAGAATTCTTCAAGGTTAAAGTACTTCTTAAAAACAGCTGTTCATTCTAATGTCTACCCCAGATACAGTGACTCTGCTAAATTCTTACAACAGCACTTTTTCAGGAAAAGGGGCAATAAATAAACAAAGTGCTGTTTTAATCGGGGGTGGGGTAAGGTTTCCAAGATGAAAGAAGTATTTAGAGATAAACCACCATCTGGTACTCCAGATAGCCTTATGTGTGATAATTATTGACTTTCTACTCACAAGTATTTGCAAAAATGGAGAGATCTAACCAAAGAAAAACTGGTTTTATGGTTTCCCCAGTGGGGAGCGGGATGTATTATTCAGGGTTCTCTAGAGATACAATCGATAGAATGAATCTGTATATATAAAAACAGGATGTATTAGAGTGGCCTTGACTGTCCAACACGGGCTATCTCCCTGTAGAAGTTCAAGAACCTGGTAGTTGTTCAGTCCACAAGGCTGAATGTCTCAGCCGGTCTTTAGTATACCCCAGGATCTGGAAGAAGCAGGCTCTAATGAACATGGCATTGGGAATGAACTTGACAAGGAGAGCGAGTGCAAGCACTCCTTTCTTTCATGCCCTTTATTTAGGCTGCCACCAGAAAGTGTGGTCCAGATTTCAGGCATGGATCTTCCCACCTCACAAGATCTGGATTTAGGATGTGTCTTTACACTTTAAATAATACATTCAAGACAATCCTTCACAGGTGGACCCAGATGCTTAGGTTTCAGTTAATTCCAGATGTAGTCAAATTGACAACCAAGAATAGGCATCACAGGGGAGCATTTGATGTTCCAAAATTGGCATTTCTGTGTGCTTAATTAAGTTCTAGGCAATAATATAAAAAAATCACAACAAATGTAAAATTTTTGTAAAAATCAGTCAAGTTGGTAATTCATAACAATAAGAGCTCTAGGAAAAGGCTGCAGGTGAGTTAGAAAGAGACACTAATAAGGAATTTATTTAAGACTTCTGTCAGGGAAGCAGAGCAGTGCCTTGTTCAGCCATCATCAGAGAAGCTTCCTCCTGCGGCAGATGGGGACAGATAGAAAGACCCACAACCAGACCTTCAGCAGAGTGAGAGACCTTAGAACACTCACCCCTAAATGGGATGTCTCCACCAAATCCCTGTCCTCAGAGCTCAGGAAATCATGGAAGAGCAGGCAGAAATAGTGTAAGAGTCACAGTGAATGGATGGCACCAAGAAAACAAGGCTCTCTAAATCAACACGGCACAGAGCTCCTGTGAACTCACAGAGACTGAGGCAGCATGCACAGGGCCTGCATGGGTCTGTCCTAGGTCCTCTGCACTTACATTGTGGCTTCCAGTTTAGTGTTTTTATGGGATTCCTGAGGATGCGAAAGAGTGGGTCTCTGATTCTTGTGCCTTCTCTTAGGTTCTTTTCTTTCTGCTGGTTTGGCTCGCCTAACTTTTATATGATAATTTTTGTTTTGTCTTATTTTATTTTGTTATTTTTTAAATGAATGAATGAATGAAACCTGTCATTTATACTTGCAGGAAGAAGGAAAATCATTTTTCCCAGTAGAGTGACACTGGGTGTATCAACTTCTCCAGACAGGCCTCATGTTCAGGAGTAAGTGACCAACAGAGAATGGACTCCACAGTTTTTTGTGTTTGCTTTTATTTGGTTACAGTTTGGTGGGTATTTTTATTTTTGTTTTTTTCTCTTTTCTTTTTGGGTGTGGCTTTATTTTGTTTTCTTGGTGTGGGGTGTGGTTGTCCTTGTATTTTTTTTTTTTGAAAAAGAACTTAAAGTTGGGTGGATAGGGAGGGGGAGAGGATCTGGAAGGCCTTGGAGGAGGGAGAATATAATATAATTAATTATATTTAAATTAAAAATTGTTTTAAATATAATAAAAAGTCACTGTTTAGTATATAAAAGTAATATGCATTTGGCAAAAGTAATTTATTTAAATTTTTTGAGTTTATATCAAGCTATTTAAGTCCTAAAATCAACTCCCCACTCTCATCTCTTTATCTGATCTTGCCTCATTATTCTCCATCTCCTACTGTTTTATATTATTTCCTTGAATGGTTTCTTTTCTTTTAAACTCTCATTACATGAAGATGTCTTCATTATACCAACTAATCCTAAAATTATTTTCAGCCTTAAAGCCAAAAATCCAAGTTTGGAGCTGAGGTTCTAAAATCTTAGGGACACTCCCCTGGCTGTTAAAGATGCCTGAATGAAGCTGTGTCTCTCTTCCCCTGAGCATCTTCTCCGGTGGGTACCTATAACACATGTGTTTCATGTATGTTTATGATAACTGTGTGTCATGTGTGCCTATGATCACTGCTTTTGTATATTTTTGGTTCTTTTCACATGTTTGTGTTACTTTTTTAAAAAAATGTGGCCACTTCAGTTCTCTCTTTTAAAGAATTTTTTTTAATGTACGAAAATTATTTTGGGACATGCTCAGTTAAAATGTATATATATTCACATTTTAAAATTTTGATCTGTAACATGAATTGTTAGAAGGTCTTATCAATAAAATCAAACCCAGAGCCAGGTATTGGGGTGAATGCTGGAAGATCAGAGAAGCAGAACAAGCAACAGCCACCTCACCTCGCCAATTCCTTAGCTGATCCTTTTTCCTCAGACTGGAAGCCTCTGAGTCTTCATTCAGAATGAATCTCAGCTGAGCTGCTGTTCAAAGCCTAAAAGCTTAACCAGCCAAAAGCTTCTAGTTTCTGGCCTTCACGCCTTATATCTTTTTCTGCTTTCTGTCATCACTTCCTGGAATTAAAGGCTCACTTCCTGGGACTAAAGGTTCTTGTTACCTCGCCTGGCTGTTTCCAGTGTGGTCTTGAACTCACAGAGATCCAGGTGGATCTCTGTCTCTGGAATGCTAGGATTAAAGGCATGTGTGCCAGCATTTTCTGGCCTCTATATCTAGTGACTGTTCTGTTCTCTGACCCCAGATTAGTTTATTAGGGTGCACAATATTTTAGGGAACACAATATCACCATAGTGATCACATATGAAAAGATATATTAAATATATATATTGTATAAATTGAGTATTCTAAACATCTAAAATCATTAAGATGGTATCTTTGGGTCTATTAAATGTTTTTAAAAACCTTAAAATACTAATTGTTTATATAAAGCATAAGAGTCATAAGATAAAGTTCTCATAAGCTATAAAATTGAAATAATTATTCATCTTCTTGGTTTAAAAATAAATAAAGTCGGCCGGGCGGTGGTGGCGCACGCCTTTAATCCCAGCACTCGGGAGGCAGAGCCAGGCGGATCTCCGTGAGTTCGAGGCCAGCCTGGGCTACCAAGTGAGTTCCAGGACAGGCGCAAAGCTACACAGAGAAACCCTGTCTCGAAAAACCAAAAAAAAAAAAATAAAAATAAAAAATAAATAAATAAATAAATAAATAAAGTCTTAAATGCTACATTTTACCCTGCCATATAGATGCCTTTTGCTATTCCACATGCCTCATAAACCACCTCCCCCACAAAAGTAGTCTTTTTCTACCAAAACCAATTTCAAGATGCTTGTTCTAATAACTTAAATCTTTAACAAATAATTAATTTAAATTTGGTTAAGAACACTACACAAACATTAATGTAATTTACCTGCATTTGAATATAACTGGTAGTTTTTTAAGATACCATATTTATGTTTTCTGAACTTTAAACACAGTTTCCAAGCTTTCATTTAAAATTACCTTATTAAAGTTGTTTTTCAATAATTTATAATAATGTTAAGATTAACTCATGCTGTGAAAAGATTATAAAAATGGACATGGTTGTAACTAAGATGGATGTAATATAAATGTTATCAAACTTTTTATGATCAAAATTCAATTTTCTTAAGTATTGATCTATTCTTAGTAATGTTCACCAAAAAAAAACCTCTTAAAACAATAAAAACTTTGTTTCATCATTTCACCTAAAGGACATTTAAAATCTGTGATTAAATTTTAATTTTATATGCTTTCTCATTAGACCTTTTGCTTTTTTGTGATAGTTATTATTTTAATAATAGGATAAATTCTGTTTGGTGACTTATCCCTATTTGAGACATTCCCACTAAACTATATAGTGATTGTTGAACTCACTTTAGTAGACAAATATTTAAATATTTTATAAAATCTGCTCTTTTAGATAAACAGCAAATAGTATTGTAAAATACTTTTAAATATAATAACTAATTTTCTGATTGTTACAGAGTCTTCGTCAAAGGATACATACAACATTGTTTGATTAACTAAAAGAAAGAAGACATAATGTAAAAGACTCCTTTCTGATTAAGTGATCAGGACTGTGTCCAGGTACTTCTCATTCACTCCTGGACTGTTAAAATTTGATGAGGTGAACTTTCTCACACAGTCCGAGAACACTTTAATGGAGAATTGGGGAAATGCTGAATAACAGATCCCCATCTTCAATGCCATTGACAGCTGAGCTCCCCAACTAACCAAACATTTCTCTCCCTTTTTGTGTTTCTTAAATGCCATATAACTAAAAAATTTTAAATTGTTTATATTTAATATTCTACATGATATATTTCTTAAGTGATAAAATAATACCATTTTGTTTTTAATAAAGTTACAAATGAAGATATTATTCCTTTTAACTAATCAGTTTTTTTATTATGATCGTTTGCTTATCCCAAACATATACATTATTCAAAACTAGTTTTCATGTTTAAAAGATTAAATGTTTTCACTGCCTTATATATATGTGTGTGTGTGTGTATATATGTACATATTTAGATTCACTTGTTATTCAGTATAATTTGATAAAACAAAAATAAATCTAGGTTTTAATTAAACTTTAAATCCTTTTACTCTAGCTAGAGTTGGGCTAACTCTTCTTGCTCGTATTATACAAAAGTCATCAATCTCTAATAACAACATTCGTAAGTTTTCATACCTTAATATTGATGTTTCTTGATTCAATTAATATCTAAGATATACTATGCCATAATTAGTCAGGACTAAAAACAATGAAACAATATTTGTATTTTACTAATTAAAAAAAAAGGGACATCATTATAGTGACTCATTCCAGAGTCTCATTTCTACCCATTTAAATGCAAGTAGGGTAGCTCATAGAGTACAGATACCTGAATACAGGGGAAAACTTAGAGTTAATTTAGTTTAATTGCTATGCACATTTTTGTTGTTTAAAATACATGTTTCCTTCATCACTCAATTAGGTCAAACCAAGTTCTTGATTATTTTAACTTTAGGTAACATAATCCTATTATATGTCACACATAACTGCTGTGTCAAATATAGATGATTTACCTATAGGAAAAGAAAAAAAAACAAAAAACAAAGGAAGACCATGTTTGCTAATAGTTTCCTTATGATCTAGGAGTTTCTTTCTTATAACTTACAAGCTATTCTTCTCTCCTGAAGACTTTGTCCTGCTCACTACTTAGCCTTATCTACATCAGATCCTAGGAATAAACTTCTTGCTACGAGGGACCTTATAATATTTAGTAAATAATATATGACCCGCCCCCAGCCTGCACAAAATGTGATGCTTGGACAAAGACCGACTAATTAGAACTGTGGTGGTGTGGCGAGGTCCAGATGTTTTCACTCCAGAGGCTAACCACCTCATCTTGGGCTAGCCTTAGCCTCCTGCACAGTCACTCCTTACCCACTTCTGAGTCTGAACTGACATCTTGTGCCAATAGACAAAAAATATTTTGAAATCTGTTAACTTAGCAGACCACCAGCTTTCATCATCCCAAATGTTAAGAATGTCATCAAACAGCATCTGAGACCTAGAGAGAAGCTCCCCAATCTTGTAACCACCCCTCGGATGTACCAAACAATCTATGAATCAAGACTTTCTTTGTTCTGTAAAGCTATAAAACATCAAGAAAGTGCTTACATGTTGGAATGTGGGATTTGGGGTAACCCAAATTTGTGTTCTTGGGCCATGGTCACTCACATTTGGCTGTAGAATAAACTATTATTCCATTTAAGGTAAGAGCTGTTGCATTGTGTCATCCCCACCCACCTCCAACAGCAACAACAACAGCAACAACCTGGCCAATCAGTGTTTTTAAGGTAGCCAGAAGAGAAAGGATAGTGGTGGGTGTGGTAAGGGTTGAGTCTTGACAAGCCCGATAGTATTCACTGAAGAGTCTGGAACCCAGTATTTTCTTTTCTCGCAGAAAAAGCCTCAACTATCAGCAATGAGTATACGTTCTATAAGCTACAAAATATATATTCCCTCACCATTGCCATACTACTATTAAAGTCCTCACATGTAACAGGGAACAAGGAAAATCTGATTTTACTGTTTAACAATTCAGCTTATTCTGAAGTATTCATGACATATTCTAATTCCTCTGAATGGCACAATAGTTCTATGTACTTGTTATTTAAAAACAGATTGATTTGTTAATAATAGTTCCCAAGTGTCAATACAGGTGATGAATGTCTTTAGCAGATGCCATCCTGGTAGGAACTTTTCCTGCTTGGTGCAAAGCAGGGACAAAAGGAAAGGTGAGAGTCTTTTGCTGCACATGAGCTGTCATCAGCTCCAGTGCGAGTGGCCAATACACAACTAACTTCCTGATAATCCTTCCATACACATGTGTTATGTTTAATATTCAAAAGGAATAAACATAAAGATGAATGACTACAACTTAGGGTCATCAGATGATAAGCTTCTAAGTAAATAACCTATGCATACCTAAAATACATACTTATATTTATAATTTTAAGCTACAATACTTCAAATGGGTACAAGGGAAAAAAAACCCACAAGAATGAGTGGCAGTGGCAGGGAGTAAGGGAAAGAATATTATTTATTGTCCATGAATTATTTGGAAATATAAAGGGATAGAGCAAATGTAATGGTGATACTGTATTAAAGTTTGTTTTTATTTTTGCTTTACCTTTGTTCTGGATATGTAAAAAACCAAATGATGACTCCCTCTCAGTCTTATGCCTCAGTAAAACCCTAAGATAAATGTTGTCTCTGGTGCCCGAGTATCTTCCCCAACTATATATATACATATACATATATATATGTATATATACATATATACACACACATATATATGTATATATACACATATACACACACACACACATATATATATACATATATATATACATATATATATCAAGTCTTTGTTTTGCTTTTTCTACCCCAAATAAAAGCTGTGCTGGCCCCACTGAAGGTTCAGCATGTGTTAGCTGAAAGCAGTCAAATTTTAACCCCTGTCCCCTTTATGCAGATTCCGGGAAACTTCTTTTTTCTTTAGGTTCTTCACAGTTTAGAATGCCACTAAGTAATATATATATATATATATATATATATATATATATATATATATATATATATATATATATATATATATCCATATTCCTCTATACAACAAACTCCACTCATTATTTTGTACTATTTCAATTTTTCTCATAATAATCTCTTAGACAAGGATGGTTATAGAATAACTCAGCATTTGGAGTGCTGGCTTTATAAGCCTGGGGACTTATTTTACTTCTTTCAACTCTATTCCTCTGTTCTTCATCAAAGCATCTGTAACAGCAATAGACCTTCCTTTTGATTGTTGGCTTACAGGGATTAATATGGGTGGAGTGCACACGTGACTGGCATCCAGTGGTGCTTATCCAGCCATCTGGATCAACCTTGCTGTTTTAATCTCAGGGCACACACTACAGAGTTTGGATTTTTTTTCATAGCAAAGTGAGCAATGATACAGAAATATTGAGGCAGAGAGAGCTTAAATACATCCTGAAGGTCTCAGCCCTGTGACATTAGGGTTCAAAGGGAATTTGGCAAGAAAATGAGAATGATTCCAAGGCTCATATGAAGTGAGATCCAAGGATCCAAGTTCTTAAACTTGAAGGAATGCTGAGCTGGGCGCTTCACCTCACAGGATGCTATGCACAGTGAGACCAGGCTTTCCCAAGCACAGTTGCTGTAAGAACTCTCTTAACACCTTGGCAGAAGGCCTGTGAGTGACGCACAACTGCACTTCCAGCACTGAGGAGCTTGAGGCAAGAGGATCAGAAGTTCAAGGTCATTCTCATCTACCTACCTAGCAAGTTTGAGGCTAGCCTTGGGCACACAAGACCCTGCATAAACAAACAAAAACACCTGTATTCCTAACATTTGAGAAATGGTAGCAGTAAACTCAGGAGTTCAGGACCAGCGTTAGTTATGCAGCAAGCACTCAGCTTGGGTTGCATGAGATCGGTTTCACTTTAAACCAAACATCTCAGAAAATTATTTTTCTTAATTTTTTTTAATTTTTTTTTATTTTTTTTTGGTTTTTCGAGACAGGGTTTCTCTGTGTAGCTTTGCGCCTTTCCTGGAACTCACTTGGTAGTCCAGGCTGGCCTAGAACTCACAGAGATCCGCCTGGCTCTGCCTCCCAAGTGCTGGGATTAAAGGCGTGCGCCACCACCGCCCGGCTAATTTTTTTTTTTTTAATAAAGCCTAGAGCACTGGTATCTCCAGGTGGTCTCCCATCCAAGTACTGACCAGGCACGACCCTGCTTAGCTTCCACAATTAGGGGCATTAGGGTAGTATGGCCTCAGACAGAATAATCTTATGGCATTCAAGATGGTTGTTTTTCTTCTGTCTTAATTATTTTCCTTTTAGAATGCCTGCTATGGAACCAGTAAGAGGCTGCCTGGGTCCTCAGACATCATTGTCAACAAACCTGGAGGACCAGCTTGTTTGGATCAAGAAACACCACACTAAACTGGGTGTGGTGGCCCACGCCTTTAATCCCAGCACCGGGAAGGCAGAGGCCGGCAGATCTCTTCCTGGTTTACAAAGTGAATTCCAGTCAGGGGTACACAGAGAAACCGACTCGAAAAAAGGAAAAAAAAACCCCAAAACCAAAACAACAACAAATCCACAACACTTCTAGTAGTACGTATGTGGATCCGAATTGTAGGAACTTAATGGTGTCATCCTCAGTGCTTCAAGCGGAGTGTCACGAGCTTTTTACTATGTGGCTCCTGTGCTTGGTCAGTCTGTCCAATGAAGGCACAGGCCACCCTTGTCCACTGGGCTTCCCTGACCCTCATTTCCCGTTCAAGTCATGCTATCCTCAGGAAAAAGTTGGTGATGCCAAGAGCCCAGAAAAATGGAGTTGGGAGTTCCCCTAAGGTTCCAGACAACCTCCATTTCGTTTCTGGGGAGGCCGGAGGCCCAAACTCTCATTTGCTTTTCGTAAACTGAGAGATATATTGCAAATTCATTATTTTTCATTGCAGTCCCTTGATTGCCTTGGGAGATGTTTTTAATAGTTAAAATAGACACCCTTCAGACAATTTACACTGAGACAGGCTACCATTCTGCTTAGACTGGCCAGAACTCGAAGTTATGGCAAAAGATGTTCGGCTTTCAGATTTCCTAGTTGTCCAGTTACATTCCAGGGGGCCCTTCCGACCTTGGCCAGTGAACTGTCCACTACAAAATCTCAAGCCAACTATGAGTAACTAAAGCCCACCAGGTTGGGGTAAAGACTTCATCACTGTATTTTGCTCAACTCTTTCTCTGAAACAGTGGGGGCTCTGAAAAGAGCCTTTTGGGTTTGAAGTTTCCTAGAGTTTTGATGGTTGGTTGTCAAATTACTTCCCCTTGGCCTTGTGGTGGCTCTCGGTCTTCTTGGGCAGCAGCACCGCCTGGATGTTGGGCAGGACGCCGCCCTGCGCGATGGTCACGCGGCCCAGCAGCTTGTTGAGCTCCTCGTCGTTGCGGATGGCCAGCTGCAGGTGGCGCGGGATGATGCGCGTCTTCTTGTTGTCGCGGGCCGCGTTGCCAGCCAGCTCCAGGATCTCGGCCGTCAGGTACTCCAGCACGGCCGCCAGGTAGACCGGGGCGCCGGCGCCCACCCGCTCCGAGTAGTTGCCCTTGCGGAGGAGCCGGTGCACGCGGCCCACGGGGAACTGCAGGCCGGCGCGGGACGAGCGGGTCTTGGCCTTGGCGCGAGCCTTGCCGCCCTGCTTGCCGCGTCCAGACATTATTGACAAAGCAGCAAGACAACCCAAAGTACTAAACCTGGTAAAGCATGGCTGCTTTTATAATCGGTTCCTGGATAGTAAAAGCAACTACATGATTGGTTAAAATAGGGCTCAGCGATATAGCCAATAGGAAATCTGAGTCTCAAGACCTCATTTGCATAACCCCACCCACGAAGCCACCGGTTTTTCTGCTTCCAATTAGCTAAGACTCATTGGACATCCTTCATTAGCATAAACGCCCTATAAGTAGGAGAAGTCCCCTTCCAACCCACATTGAGCTTCCGGTGTCTAGAGATCCGAAGATGCCCGAGCCCGCGAAGTCCGCCCCCGCCCCGAAGAAGGGCTCCAAGAAGGCCGTGACCAAGGCCCAGAAGAAGGACGGCAAGAAGCGCAAGCGCAGCCGCAAGGAGAGCTACTCGGTGTACGTGTACAAGGTGCTGAAGCAGGTGCACCCCGACACGGGCATCTCGTCCAAGGCCATGGGCATCATGAACTCGTTCGTCAACGACATCTTCGAGCGCATCGCGGGCGAGGCGTCGCGCCTGGCGCACTACAACAAGCGCTCGACCATCACGTCCCGGGAGATCCAGACGGCCGTGCGCCTGCTGCTGCCCGGGGAGCTGGCCAAGCACGCCGTGTCCGAGGGCACCAAGGCCGTCACCAAGTACACCAGCTCCAAGTGAAGAGGTCGTGCCAAGTAAGCCTCTATCACGATTTCCAAAGGCTCTTTTCAGAGCCACCCACCTTCTCAAAAAGAGAGTTGTGGCCAAACACTGCATTCGGCTTAGTCTTTAATTTTAAGGTTTAGCCAGAAGCAACTGAGGGCACTTACAAACTTCTTTCATTTAATTCGCCAATTCTAGTTTGTTACTTTCAAGCTACAATTGCTTTGTTGACTGTGTTTTGAAAGAAATGTTTCGTAGGGAAATTTTCGCTTTGAGTCTTGTTATAAACGTCACTTCCGGTGAAGCTGAGTCACTCCACCAGAAGGAACGAAGTTACAAAGGAAGGGTGACATTTTAGGAAGATAATAAATAGACCTGGTGCTGCCCTGTGACCCCTGGCGGAGGTTTGTCTTTCAAACACTTGTTCCAGAGGGTTTATTTGGAAGAAGCGCTTTCAAATTTGCTTTCATTTTGAAAGATCTAAACAGGAGGAGTCTGTTACAAAGTACAGCCTTTTCATAATTGTAGATTTAACAGCATATATCATACTAGAGTTTTGTTTAACCTAAGACCCCTGAGATCGTCGATCAGTTTTTGGTAACTTCATAGGGTATAATAAAATGTGGTCTGGCATTACCGAACAAACCTCTCCGGCACTGACAATCGCCAGCCCGAGATTCTGGTGAGAAATGAAACACTGAGTTGTTCAAATGCAGATGTAGACATTTGTCACGTTAGAGCACTTTGTCCAAGCTATGTTTATTTTCAGTCTCAGTGGCATAAAAGCGTAGAGAGGGGTGAGGGGAAGAACGGAAGCAGCCAGTGAGGTGGGGGTGAACTGGAAGGAAGCATAGGACTTGAGCAAGAAACGCCGAAACGAAAGCCATTGCTGTGAACGCTGACTTAATTCATATTAAAAGGAAAAGAAACTGAATTCAGAGTCCTTAGAGGATTTTTCTACCCCTCTGCTTGTCCGGATGAAGGTCTAATGTCATTTCGTCCACCCTAACTGCTCACGGAAGAATTCTGACCCTAAATATTGGCTGTGCAAAGCTCAGCGCACTCCCTGGAGACCCATTTCTTTTATGAGCTGTCCTGCCTTTTCGAAGAAAACAGTTCTGTAGCTTACTCTTCCCCGATACAAGTCAACACCATGCTAATCACCTCCTACACTATTTATTTCTAGAAGCTGTGCTAGATACTGGTTATGTCTACATTATAAGCCAGCAGTGTGGGGACCTGGCAGCCTTCTGGCGCTTCAGTCTCCTCCATGCTACAACTTTGTTCTTGCACAGCTCTCCTGCTTTTTCTGGTTCTCATTTGGATGATTTGGTGCCAAAGGACCACACATCAGGCTCAAAAGTGTATAAACAGGCTCCAGGGTCGGAGGAGTTTGATACTCTGCATTTGACAACAGTTCAGAGTGGATGGTTTTCTTTCCTTCGGTGAGATTCATTCTGTGTCTTTGTTTCAGTTGTCCTTTTTATCTCCTTCAAAACTTCGTGCGCCTGTGATTTGTAGTGTTTGTATGAGTTCAGGTGGTTGTTAATTTGCTCAAAAGTAGCATGCCCATGTGAAAGAGAATATAAATATAAAATAGCTGCCTCTAGTAACTTGATTTTAATGAAGCATAGAACCAAACAAGACAGTTCCAGACCAGAAGAAATCAGTGAAACAGTATGTTGTCTCAAAATCTCTGAAATCCATCCTTTGGTAATTCCATGCCTGATTGTCACAGGCAGGCAGGGTTGAAGGCTTTTATTGTTGGTTCCGGAGGGGAGTGAGAAACAACATAAACATGCATGCTGAGACAGAAGATTGCTTCTACCACGTATAAAACTATTACTTAAACCTTAGTGATTTATTGTAAGGGATATGGCATAACAGTAGAATGTCTACCAGATTTGGAAGAGGACTAGAGGAGTACTCCTATCCTGAGTTGCTCCTGTTCCTGCTCCCCACAGGACCTCTGACCTTTAATCAGAATACGTCAATAGATACCTACATCTGTGTTCACTGACTGTCAGCCTTTCGTTCCACTTACCTCCTCTAACTTGCACAGTTGCTGTGAATCTTTCCTATTTTAGGAATATGAGAAACTTTGAGCACATTGTCTATCTCAGTAGGAAATGAGTAAACTATAATGTAATTTAAATATAAACAGGTTTTAAAACAGTACATCAACTTTAATTAAAAACTCTTAATTATTGTAAATTATTCTATATTCTTAGGCTTTTTTTTTTTTTTGGAGCTGAGGATCAAACCCAGGGCCTTGTGCTTGCTAGGCAAGCGCTCTACCACTGAGCTAAATCCCCAACCCATTCTTAGGCTTTGAATGTGGCCTCACATTTGTAACAATATTTGCACATTTTTTTTTGTTTATTTAATAGTTTGACTTTTAGTTTGTGTTTAGATGGATCTTTTATCATAATGTAAAAGTGTTACCATAATAATCTAGTTTACAGAAGTCTAGGGTTTATTTTATACGAAAAAATGACTTTCTTAAATTTATCAACTTTTTCCACTAGGTTTATTTAGTTAAATAAAATCACTTTTTAATATAAAAATTTTAACTTGGGTATTGAACTAAATAAAATCATAAAGTAATTTTTTAAATGGAGTGAAATTTTACATAACAAATGATAAGGATTCAACATGTCAGCTTAAAGACTGAATTCACACACAGATAATTACTTTAAGAACCTAGATGAATATTAAGTGGAATGAATTAGTGCCTCACCATTGGATACTATATAATTTCTACCTTAGAGATTACGAAATATAAGACATTGTAATGTCTGTTGCTGCCCGGGGCCTATCCCCCAGCAGGCTCTGGGCAGGTCAGAGAAATTGGAGAGGAGATGTGGACTAGGGAGCTACTGGGACAGACACACAGACGCACACAGGAGACTTTTATCTGAGGGCCAAAGCTTACTTCTCCATTTTATTTTCCTCTCTGCTGGATTTTTTTTCTTTCTCTGTTTCGTTCTTCTCCCCTGATGTCTCCCTTCTTCCCAGCTCTCCTGTCCCTTTCCTAATCTTACCCTTTTTATTTCTTCCCTGATATTTTTCCTTCTGTATCTTTCCTTCTCCTATTTTTTCTTATCTGTTTTATTCCACCTAACACAAAGATTTCTTTGCAAGAAGAGATTACCTCACAACCATAAGTTACATATTTTTCAAAAACAAATTAAAATCTTTACATAGGAAGAGATCATATTAAGATTACAAGTCACATGTTTTCCTTAGAAGCCCACAAGGAGTTAAACATTTTTCTTTGTATTAATTTTCCCCCCATAACATCTTCACCCTAAAGCAGTAACTCTTTTATTATTGATTAACAAAGTTTGAGCAAGCCGAGTCCAATTCAGCCAGTTCCCTTTGCACTGGCTGGCAGCTCTCTGCCATTCCAGTGTAGCAGATCTCTGATTTCTCCTCTAGAGGAGCTTAAAATGAACGGTCAGCCAACCATCTGGCTTTCCTTACACACAACAGGGTCACTTCATTTCCTTTCACAACTCTGTTTTTCAGGGTGCATACCGGGGCCTGTGATTAATTCTGTACGTTATGTGATCAGGGAACTCAGGCCCCAGGCTGGGTGCAGGGACATATTTATTGTCTTCCATAGTCATCCTGTGCTGCCACAGGCAGAATTTGTGGTAGAATGTATGAAACTTCCTCGTTCTTACTGTCTGTCTTCTGCAAATCTCACATCTAACAAAGGGGAAAGTAATTCCTAGCCTGTTTCTCTCTCTCTTTATTTTATTTTATGTATTTATTTATTTTTATCTTAGTGGGACAATTGGCAGAGTGACCTAACCCATTTTCCTCATCTCTTGACTGTCTTAACCACCTGCATCTTTTAGGCTAACTCAGAAAGTCCAGTTAATTCATGGATCTAACCAATCACCATTGCTCTCATAAAAATCATCTTCATTATGATCTACAAGTCAATTGCGCTGTGAGGAGTCGGATTTTCCCAGGAAACAATCACCCTAAATTAGACATGGTGGGAGCCTTTCACATAGTAACCACAGCATGATTGATTCAGAGGAAACAGGGCATCAGCAAACACAAGGAAACACCGCAGGAGCAAGGGGCGCTCTGGGAACAGTCCTGCCGGGCCTTTGCCTCTCCAGGATGCACCCCCAGTAGCTTTGTTATCCCCTGGGCTGTGTTCCATGAGCACCATTGCTGACTGCAGCTCCTCGGACATGGCCACCCGCCGTTCCTTCTGTGTAACTCTCCTGTTGTTAACACAGGTTATAATGACTGTTGCTTAACAAATTAGAAAACACTTCCAGTTTAGGGTGGCACTAGCCATCCTTGCCTTTGCCACCTTAAATCTGTAGGAGTGAAAGATAATAGAGATGCACCATGGGCCTAGAAGGCCAGGCGGGTTTATTATTGGGACTTGTTAGTTTATATATAAGGAAACACAATTGCTTGCTCCTCTAAGGGCTGCCTTTAATGTCTA